CACTGCCAGGATTCAATTCCTTCTGGGCACTAATCCACATATTGATAAGAGGGTTCTGAGCCCACGGTACATTGTTATGTGGAGTTGGAAGATGGATTTAAAAATCACTACTGACAATACATTTTTATGTTAGCAAATTTTCGTCAGGACCCTATCTGCATAACTTGGGTTGAAGACACCTATGTCCTGGGAATCTCCTGACTCCTACAGAATAAAGGTTGGGATAAGCAAAAACATCTTGAAACCGAAGATAGGAGGAAACACAGAAATGGGGAGAGAATGAGCGCATTTGTGAGCACTGGTCCGGAACAGGCAGGTTGAGAGGCTGGACTGTCAACTGAGTGAAATCTCAATTACAGAGTAATCTAACGTATACCCAGGTACATTATCGCAACTCAATAAACAGCTCTTCAGAATTAAGTAATTCCAATTTGCTTTCATTCTGATCTGTGTCGCCCCGAGAATTTGATATTACCTACACTCAAATTACATGGCATCTTCTAAAGCCCAGATGTTCACAATCCCAGGATAGCACATGAACCATAAACCAGCCAGCCATAAACACACTGACTGAGAGAAAGACATTGCTCGACGTGGTTCAAGCACCTGCTATGAATACCATCAGAGGGGCCCCTATCCAGCTCCTGATGCCCTGTGACCTCCCAGCCCCAATATGGCCCACATTCTGAATGGATAATGCCATGTGGTCAGATGGCTGAGCCCAAGAAGGACCAGCTAACTTCTCCTTAGTTCCCAGATTCCTGGCTCACCAGTGGTGGGTAGAGGAGGGGACACAGGGAGCCTGACCTAGCATGGACCCCATGACACAAACTTCCCAAGCCCACATGTCAACACCCACTTTTATATTTCCACCCTCCCTTTCCCTATGCTTGGCACAGGACTATATGGGGAGAGACCACCAGTGGCCCTCTGCAGAGGAGGACCACCACCCCAGCCCTTCACCATCTCTTACCTCCTTACCTGGGAAATTACACCAACCTCGGCAAGTTATTTTAACAAACGCTTCTAGGGCAATGGGCCAAGCACTGCTCTAAGAACCTCTACACACACTGTCTTCTTGAATCCTCTGGACACACACCACTCTGAGGTACGGAATCCTATATTCCCATTCCTAGATGAGCCAGTTGATGCTGGAAGAGGTTGATGTTCAAGGTCACAGAGCTGGGACGAGATGGGGCCAGGATTTAAACCCACATATCGGGGCTCTAGAGTTCTTTCCTGTCTCTGAATTGGAATGAAGTGAAGAAAATCTGGGGAAAAACCTGCCCAGGGGTGGTTTTCCTCCTGTGACATGCCTAGGTCAGCTGCCTGCTCCCCAGCTCACATCACCTGGGTGATGTGTAAACCAGGATGCAAGAAACTCAATTTGGATAGCAGCACCATCCCCTGGGAGAAGACTTAGCCCTTGAGAACACTTTTGTTTTGTTTTTCCAAATTTCCTCCATTTCCTGAAAGAAGGAAGATTTATGTTTATTCCTTGTTGGTTTTTTTTTTTGTTTTTTTTTTACAAGTGCAAATATTTCATCAGTACTAAAGTATCTAACCATCCTGCTAAGTCATGGCAAGGGGTGGTAAGGGGCCAGTGAGTCATTCTTCATAAGACACTTTCCCCCAAATGCTCTGGTTTGCTGCCTTCCCATGGGTTCCTGGCCAGACATCCAGGGTGACAGGCCTCCTCTGATGAGGCTTCCAATGATTCCTGCTGCTCTGGGCATCCCCTGCCTTTCATTTTCTTATTTGGCTTGGTTACCACTAGCTATGGGTGGGTGGGTGTGTGGGTGTGTGTAAAAAGGGTTAAATTCATTTCTCTGGGAACCTGGAAGGTAGTAAATACTCCACTCCAGAGAGGTGGGGAGCAATGATGGGAGAAGCATGAGTTAAAAGGGCAAGTTAGCAACAGGTCCAGAGATTTGTCATGAGCTTTGCATGCAGTCTGGACCCTTTCAACACTGTTTATAACATCATGATACCAGGCGCCAACAAGGTTGCACGTGGCCAGTGTACTGCTCCCCCCAGCCCGAACCCCAGCCCAGGGTGGAGAGCCCACAAAGGATAAACCACTGTCCCAATAAACCCTGGCCACCCCTCCAAACAAAGGCAATGATGCTCCCCCATGGAAATCGCATCCTCAGCCCCAAAGCCCTCCGGATTTGGCGTCCCACACCTCCTCCTCCTCAACAAGGGATGTAAAGGAAGAATAAACCCAGTGCTTTCCGGTTCCATTGGTCTGTGTGGAAAGATCAGAGCCCTCCAGCAGCGGCCACAGTCACTCATCCCGTTATCTCCCTCCCAGCCTCGTGCCGGGCACCTGCAAGGTGCGGGCGAGCCCGTGGAGGGCGTGAGCGGATACAGTCCATCCTCTGGTGGGTTCCCACTCCAGTGTGTGAGGCCACCATGGAAGAGGTACGATGAACTTCCAGAGGGGGCAGCTCTGGAAATCACAGATTCACTGAGTGCCTGAGAGGCCTGCAAAAGGCTGCTTCATCACAGAAATCAATCTAACGGCACAAAAAAAGCAAATATATGAGCCTAATGCAATGGATATGATGGTTTCTTTTATATATTAATGGCTCTCAATGTAAACGATTTTAAGATGGTTTTTTTTTTTCCCCCCTGTTGGTTGTTTTGTTCATGACTGCTTAATTTGTTGATCTTCAGCTTAACTGTTCATGGTTTTATGGAGATGAAATGAGTTCCTGCTGAGGCCAATAATTCATTCACTCATCCATCATTCAACAAGTATTTTAAGGTTGAGCCTTATGAAATGACCAACCGCGCAGGTCCAAATGGCTGAACGCCGGTGGTTTCATATTTGGGCGTGCTCAGGACTCGTGTCAAGCACTTGGCTAAGCCTGGGGGGACTTGTACAACATGAACCAAACCAAAAAGTGCCCCTATTCTCACAGTGCTCATGTTCTAAAGGACAAGATGGAAAATTACCAAGAACACGAATAAAGGAAAAATGTAATTTTGAAGTGTGGTGCTATATAGAACAAGGGACAAGTGACCTGATAGAAAGCACCCAGCTGGGGTTGGGGCTGGGGATATCCCCTTGGAGGGATGGCATGACAACATTCAAGCTAAGATCTGACTGATGACAAACGGTCAGCCATGTGAATATCCATCTAGAGTCAGGACACCCCAGGAGGGAGAATCTCAGACTAAAGCTCCCACCCCCCACCACTCCAGCAACCCTCAGTTTGTTTCCTGAGATTAAGAATTCCTCATATCAGTGAGATCATATGATACATGTCCTTC